ACTCACACGCTTGGCGGCCCTACAGGGACCTCCACCGAAGGCCCTGGCGACAGCTTCACAATTCGCACCCCCCGAGGGATGGCGAGGTCCCGTCTGGGTCCGCGAGGGGCCACACTGTGCGGGCTCCTCCAGCAGCCCTCGAAAGCGGCGACAGCTTCACACTTCGCAGCCCTCGAGGGGGATGCGAGAGGAGAGAGCCGAGAAGAGAGCGGGGGGGGAAGGGAGGAGGAGGTGGAGACCCCACTGCTCTTATCCAAAACGAAAACCCAAGAGAAGGAGGGTTGTGGAAAGAACCTCAGGATGATAAGCCAGTCCCCAGGAATGGGCCGAGACCTCCAAGAGCCAACGCTGTGAACAAAAAACGCGACGCTGGGGGTCTGGTCGGTTCGGGCCCTTCCTGCGAGGCAGAGACTTCTCTCCATGACCACCGACCGGGGGATCCATCTTGGGGGAATCCGAGTCGCCGAAGGATCGAGCCAAGACTTCCCTCCTTACTCCCCCCCTCCGTTCCCTCGTACCCATTGCCTCCCCTCCCGTCCCTCCCCCAAGCTTCCCTTCCTCTCCTCGCCCCCGCCCCTCCCCCATCTCCCCCATTCCCCCCAGATCACCCCTCTCCTTCCCCCCTCCCAATCCATACCGCCTATTGGTACCTTTTGCCCAACCCCCCATCCTACCCAAGGTTCCCCCCACCCATATTCCCCCCCCACCCCCAAGCTCTCACACTCCCCCGCCCCTCTTCTCCCTTCCCTACCCCCCCATTTCTTATTGCCCCAAAACCCCCATCTCCTCCCCCCCCCGCCAATGTCTACAACTCCTTTACTCCCTCTCTATCACCACCGCCCAATCTCATTCTCAATCCTCTCCACCCCCCTACCCACCCCCCCCCCTCTCCTCCAAGCCTCCCTCCTCCTTTCAGCTGTCCCAAGATGGCGAAAAGGTGGCCCAAGAGGCCTCCAAGACGCCCCAAGAGGCTACCAAGCGGCTTTCCAAGAAGGCCCCAAGAGGCCCAAATCATGAATGCCCCCTAGGTTTTCACTGTTTCGGGCCAACCCTTCTGCTCGGCTTACCGACGCTCCAAGACGGCCCAAGAGGCCGCCAAGACCGCCCCAAGATGGCCCCAAGACGGCCCAAGGAGGCCCAAGACGGCCCCAAAGGCGCCCAAGACGGGCCAAGAGGGCCCCAAGACGGCCCCCAAAAGGGGCCCAAGAGAAGGCACACGAAGCGAAAGTCCGAGCCTTCCGCCTCAAGAAGCCCAAAGGAGGCGCCCAGGAGGCCTCAACAGGCCCTGAGAGGCCCTCAAGAGGCCCAAAAGAGGCCCCAAGGGGCCCCGAAGTGGTCCTCAGAGGCCTTCAAGCTGCCTCCAAGAGGCCCCCCCGGGAGGCTTCCAACAACATCCAACCGAACATGCAATAGGCGTCATACCAACGACCCGGGCACGGTGGCGGGATGGCCTGAAGGCCCTTCGATATCCAAAAACTGTCCGTCGTGAGTTGGTCACGACACGAGGGGGTCTGGGGTGCAGCCTTTTGTATCGGACGGATCAACGCGAGTGGAGACAACGGCAGCTCAAACCTGGTGGCCTGACCCCTCCCAGGTCGCCGGGGTCCACACGCACGAGTTTCCCCGAGCTGCGCCCAGCCGTGAGAACGACGGGCCCCGCGGCGGCCAGCTGCAGCTGGAATCAGCGAGCGCGCAAATGGCCAACATGTAGAAGAGAAACAAACCATAAACATTAACGTTTGGCGCTTCGCGCAGATTTCTTGGATCTGCGCTTGGGCCCCCCGGCGGCGCCTCCGGCTTCGCCCCTGGCGCGCTCGGGCCCGCATCGGCGATGAATGGAAGAAGAAAAATCACCATGAACATACACTTTTGGCGCTCCGCGTAGATTTCTTGGATCTGCGCTGGGCCCCCTCCCTGGCGCGGAGCGCGTCAAGGGCGGCGCCGGAGGCGCCGCCGGGGGGGGGGCCCAAGCGAGGATCCAAGAAACCCGCGCGGAGCGCCACAAAAGTTTATGTTTGTGGCGTTGTCTCTTCTTCGTTACCGATGTATCGGTGATTTCGGCGTGGAGAAGTTCGGGCTCCACATCGAGCAGCATCGCCGATGCATCGGCAATGCGGAGCAGTGCACCGACCCCATCTACTCGGACCCCATCATGGAGTCCCAGAGTGCAGCTGCGTGCAAGCTTTGTTTCAGCATGCACGGCGTGTTTTAGTTTTCAGCTCCCCTCCCCAGACAGCCGAGGCGCAGTGGATAGGCATGAAAAAATGGTCCCGCGATGCTAACGTTTTATCCATAGCCACTGCGCCTCCGCCTTGTGGCGCCCCTTGCCAGAAAGTCCAAGACGCGGTGGATATGGATATGAATATTGCGCCGTATCAGGCGGGAAGGCCCAAGAGTAGCCTCAGGACGACGTACCCCCAGTGAGGTGCCGCAGCGGCCACAGTTCCAGACACTCTGGGCGTCAAAACGCAGCCGCAGCCGAGGCCCTCTCTCCAAGGTGCGTCTGTTCTTGGCACCCGTACGTGTGGCCTTCCCTGAAATAGTGAGGCTCAGAGTGTGCCCATGCGCACGGATCGGGGAGACGTAAGGACTCGGCTTCGGAGGACTGGGAATGGCCTGACAGGGCCGTCCGGGAAACGACACCCAGCCTGAAATTTGACGCGAACTCCCGCTGCAACCATCCCTCCAAAAATGGACAGTCAAGATCCAGGCTTGGCCCGTCCAAAAGCATTGGCGTAACCGAGTTCCCGCGAACTCGAGTCTTACGCTTTCACGGCCGGAAGGCCGCCGCCCGCGCTGGCTGTAGGTCTTCAAGAGGCCGAGCCGGATACGCCCATGGCGTGTGAAGACGAGGGGCAGGGCAAGGATCGGGCCGTGCGAAAGGGGGGGACAGCAAAGGGGGGGGTGAGAATCAGCTCACGTAGCTGACTTTCCTGGCGCCTCCCGGCGCCAGGAGGCGCCCATGTATCGAGGAATGGGCCTGGCGGCGGGGCCGAAACCAGCTGCGTGCAGCAGATTTCGTAACCCCCACTTTCCCTATCCCCCCCTTTTGTTCGGCCCGAAAAGAGCGACCGTACCAAGGTTCGGCCGAAAGGAGGGGAAGGACGAGGCGGGAGAGGACGTGTTGTAGCCCCAGCAGAGAACTAAGGGGGGGGCTTAACACTAACAGAAAAAACATAATGGTCAGAACATACTTAAAACAATCGACCCCATACTATTTTTTGATTATTGTTGAGTTTTCGTCCTGTAGAGGAGCAGGCCCGACTTAGGGTAGGGGGAGGGGGGAAGGCTTCTTCAGAGGAGGCTGCTCCTTAGAAGGCGCCGTCCTTACCTCTACAGAGAAGGCCCACGCCTTCTCACAAGAAGGAAGGGGGTTTTCTGAGAGGCCTTCCGCCCTCCCACTGGATGAGGGAGGCCTAGAATGTAGTAGTGGCGGCGCGCACAAGGGGATAGGGGTGCAGTCGGCCCGTATCATAAGGATGCGCGATAAGGATGCAAGGGCCTTGGACGCTCATTTCGAAGATTTTTGAAATGAGCGTCGAGCGGGGCGCGGCCAACATGGCCAAGGATGGGCCGAGGAGGCAAGGATGCAAGGGTACCCTTGGGAAGGTGGCCAATCCTTAATACCCAGGTCGACTGGAGGGGAGAAGGCTGCTTGGAAGGAGAATGCTGCTCAGAAGGCGCGGGCCTTATCTACAGATGTGTGGCCGGCGCCTTCAAAGATACGAAGCGGCCTCCTCCCACGAGGCTTTCCGCTCGCTCCCTACCCTTCGGGCGGGCGTGTCCTCCTACAGGCGGATATTGAAAGACACATCAAGAATTAGCCCAACAACAACAAGCAAAAAAGAGCACGGACCCACAAATTGGTCACAAGAGCACGAAGCATCGCCACTGTTGCTAGTGACTCTTCTTGACCCTTCCCCCTGCAGAGAGAGGCATATGCCCGACTCAAAGCCGACCCGCCCCTCCCCGTCGCCCGGACGTCCCTTTTCCCATGCATGTTTCGGTTTCGTGCGTGCTTTTTCCCCCAGGGTGATCCATTATGCTCCTCGAGACTCCCCGCCGAGGAAACGTGCACACGTCCGAGCGACACCGAGTGGCCGCTAACGGCCGATGCGCGCGGAGGGCCGCCGCTGCGCACGGAGGGCCGCCGCCCGCGCGTGGCGCGCCTTGCCCGCCTCCGCGCCTCTGGCCGGCGCGGGCCCGCCCCGCCCGGCGGCCAGCGGCGGGTCCCTGCCGATGACGTGGCCGCCGCCGCCGCCCGCCGCTCCTCGCGGGAGGCGCGCCGCGCGCGCAGGCGCGCCCGCCGCGGGAGGCGCCGCGCGCGCTGGCGCGCCGTCGGCGGCCGTCGACGGCCGCCCGCGGCCGCGACCGGCGACGACGACGACGACGACGAGGACGACGACGACGACGGCGACGACCGCGACGACCGCGACGACGACGACGACGACGGCGGCGGCGGCGACGGCGACGGCAGCGACGGCAACGGGGCGCGATCCCGCGGATGGGCGTTCGCACGGGTGCGTTCCGCGCAAAAGCATCAGCGAAACGACGCCCCGCATCTGCGGAGTCGGGGCCCACGGGCCCAACCCGCGAGGCCGCGGGTACGGATATGGGGTTCGCCCTCGAGTCCCCATCGTCGCCTGAGGTCCTCGCAAACGGAAAGCATCGCGGCGCCCCGCTTTTCTATGCGCCTGTGGCCTCGGGAGGCCATCTCCCAGTCCCAGGACCGTCAAGAAGCGGCTCAGGGGGAAAGGCCGCCTCCAGGGGTCGAGATTCCTGGGGGGGGTGTCACATCACGAGCAAAAATGCGACGTCGCGCCGGTTGGGACCCCGAGACCTTAGCGTTGCTGTTTCTTGTGGCATCCTGCCATTTCGCTCTATTTCGGGCCCCCAGAGCCTCGCGGATCGATTCAGCTCGACAATTCTAGCAGCAAGGGGGGTCCTGGGTCTCTGGTCGTGATTCCTCGCGGTGTTGTATTCTTGTTCGTGATGTCGGA